CTTACAACTCGGCAACGGCCTCCGCTGCCCATAAGGGCGGCATAGTGCTAGTGGAATGGCGGCATAACCACCTTTTTATAGAGCCACTATTACTAAGGTCACCAATTGTTCCGATATTGCGAGAAAATCTCAGATTTTTACTATTATTTATTTATTTATTTAAAGACTTTATTGCACACACAACAATGTTCTGTACAAAAAGGCGAGCTTACTATGTGGTATGTTTGATTGAAATTCGTATTCGAATATGTGAAATTACACCTTTTACTTTGGTACACTTTTCGTGTGAACCTTTACTTGTGTACTGTAAGCTATTTAGTAAATTATTTCATAGATCATATCCAATATCCATTATTTATCATAATTAATTTTAGAGAGTAAAAAACTCATAAAGTTTTATTAAACGAGTAACGTTATGTGTTGCGTTAAAGCGCGCTTGATATGTTATCAATCTAAAACTATAGCCGTTTTAAAATGTTACATTTTTTGCTTTTGATAGCAAACTATTCCGTGAATGACGATTCACAATAGTGTAATAGCAAAAAATTTAGCTTTTGAAATGCCGATAAAATGCAACACGTTTAGGAACACTTGTTTTTCTGGGAAAATACGACCCAATTCCGGTTCTATGGCGTGAGCAATCCCGAAAAAGCTATTTTCATAGTGGCCAGCCTAGCCATAACCCTCGTACTACAATAAATGTTCGTACGAAACGCAGAAATTCGCAAAATAGTCTTTATCACGTCGGTTACGAGGTCGCCTGCCGACTCGCAAACGACCACCCTAATGTTAATTTGCACAGGCAAATAAGATATCGTAATATGACTATGATAATATTTATTGAGTATTGTTATTTTATTTACTAGGGTTGTTCAAAAAGTTATGAGAATGGGATATTTTTAGCCATAAAAAAAACCGAAAAAATTGAGCAGGTAGCTTAATTCTTTACTAATAAACTAGTAAAAATCATTTAAGTTCACCATTGCGTTTAAGAATTACATTCGCCTCACTAGTCGGAAAGTCCTTATTTTCTATGCCCATCGCACCGGTACACAACCCTGACGTTGCGGTGGCAGCCAAAAAATAAATTGGGGTTTAAAATGCTCAAAAATCTATCATATTCTCTAGATCCGACTCTCAGATACGTTAATAGCTCTTTTTCCGATTTAAAAAGTAGTTCAGGACCTGATATTTGAGGAAATTGTCAAGGCTGTGTCCTTTTTTGGACATATTTTGGATTTACATTAATTGCTGTTTAAAACCAATCCACTTTGCACATGTTTACTCACTACTTGTGAGTTTGCCGCCCGTGACCTTAATTCGCATGGTCGAGAAAATAATTGGCATTTTTTTATTAATTTAATAAATAACTACTCAGCATTTTAAAATATCACATTTGGTGTTACTCTGAACTTTATAACCTGTGTCTTAGGTTTTAATAGTTATATACAGGGTGTTTGGTAAATGGGTATATGAGCCGACACTAGCCCATGTTAACATGGGCATATAAATGATATGGTGAAGTCAGAAATTTGATATCATCAATTTATTTTTTTTTAATTGTCATACAAAATAAATTTTATAAATTCCGATTTGTATAAAAATTAAAATAGTTAAAATGAAGATATCAATTTTCTGACTTCACCATACCATTTATATGGCCATGTTAACATGGGCTAGTGTCGGCTCATATACCCATTTACCAAACACCCTGTATAATTATTTAATTGGCATTGGAGAGAAATCGAAGCTTTTATTAGAAATAGCAATGAGCTAAATCATTAATACGTTATTTTCTTACATTCTTTCTAATAATAAAAAGCAATTTGATGTTCAGATCAATCTATGCTAACAAGAGTAGAGTACTTACACAAGCTATAATGTTAATGTAGTTGTATTAAGATGCCAACTTTGACAGTAATATTCAATTTGATGTGCTGGCGACTATACCTACATTTGTGTAAAGCGACTCGCTCTTTCTCATTTAATTATTTATTAAATAAAACAAAAATGTCCCGAATCCTTTAATCTGGACTTAGTCCGTTTGAATTTCGGGTGCAAATAATATGCATCGCTCTTTTCGCTTCCCGTCGCAGATTAAGCTGTCGACACAGCAATTATTGGATTCCCAAAATAATTTCGTGTAAATTACAGCCGAATTAAATCCATTAATGCTCCTGAAATACAGCCAATAGTACGCCGGCCATATTTACGACTGCCAAATAACGAATTATTGAAAGTTATAAAAGGCTGAATTCGGCTGAATAGACAAAAAACATATTCTACTTATAGATTTTCCCAGCAAAAGTCCACTGAGTACTACAGGATCGTGGCCAAACTGTTTATGATCTTATTTCACGTCACCCTTTCTAAAGCGTTTTGCAGTTTTTGGCGAACTGGCTAATCTACCACATCATAGGCTCGTGGTGGTTCACTCTACCCAACACAGTGGTTCGTGCCTGCTAGGTAAAGTTAGATTGAAACCACGTGACAGGACGCCCACTATGTCATTTACGTAGATAGATACCTAAATCTAATAGTTTTTATGTCAATGTCTAAGGAGAGACGTATCAATAATAATTGATCACTACCCAAGTGCGCATTTTGAGCAAAAACAATCTTACGCCTCTCAGAAAATTGCTTATTGAATATAAAACACCTACTTATCTTAAGTGGCATTACGAACGTTCAATAAAAATAACTCATAACAGCTTATTATGTTGATCATTTTCACGAAAAATAATCTTATTACAAAAATTCAAGTACAAGAAACATAATTGGTACTTGAGAACGTCAAAACAAAAGAAGTAAGCTGTAAACGTGATTCGAACAACAAAGCCGTACATTAGAAAACGTCGAAAAAGAGCCCGTTTAAACCTTATCATTTAATAAGACAATGGGAAAAATGAAAAACGAAATAGTGATAGCGTTCTTTTTTACGGGGGACGTCAGACGAAAACACGAAGGGAGGTTTTTGTTATTCATCGACAGTTCATTCATCTCGAGTGTAACATTTGACAGACCTATTGTGATCACGAACAATGGCGGCGCAATGCCCAAATTTGTAATAAGGCACTTTTTTCCTGAGCGATATTGGCGAATCTTGACGCCTCGTACAAATTTCGATAAACCATTTGTTAAGTTGGCTGTGCAATTCAGAAGGTTCTAGGGGAAGGCAAACTTTTGTTTCTTTTTGAAAATGGGGTCTGTTTCTCTAGATAGAGAAACACTTTTTGTCCTGGGCACGCGACGAAAAATGGTATACTCAGAGCTGTCGCGACTATGGATATTTCATTAAAAATATTTAGGCTCAACTTATGAAAATGTGTTAATATTACATTAGGTGATATTAAGCATAGCCTAGTCTTTCTTTCTTTAATACATATAACAATATCTGTTGTATGTAGACAAAAGTAAGTAGGTATTGTATGTAACAAGTATCTAATCAGTTAAAATCGACTTGATACAAAGTAGTAAGTAATTAGGGAAAATCTCGGACAATTTAATGAAAATATTTTTATAAGTTATTAATTGACCCTTATATAGCTGGTGTTCAATTCTAAAAAGTAATACAAAACCTTAAAAATATCAACATGAACCGTACACTCAAGCAAAGCAGTCAGACTTAAAGTTCCCATCATTATTTTCCAGAAAACGTTTTTATTTCCCAAACGCTATCGCGCCTAGAGTAACTGAAGGTTTTATGAAGATTTATACGTCGGAATGAAAGAAGTCCTCCGTGTTACATTACGTCATATGTTTGGATAAAGCGCGAAAGCACTTCACCCTTCCTACGAGAAACGAGGCGATAGTATTCCGAAAATTAGATTCTGTATGTGATATTGTTTCTAACTAAAGGTGGCTGCGATATTCTGTGGAAAACGTTGAGATTTAAAGGGTTAAGTTGATTGAGTTTAGTTGCTAATACGTTCGCGTAATTAGGGTTGTTACACAATACCATCTTTTTTCCAAATAAAACCTCATTGTTATTGATGTACAAAAGTTGTGAAACTTAATAGTATTTAAATAAGCAATGGATCGTAAACAATATTTTTAAACGATTTTATTAAATACGTATGTCCCGAAAAATCGATAAGATTTCTTTATAATCTGATAATCCGTACTTATTTACATACAGCAGTACCCTTTAGTAAGTAGGTAATTAAAACTGAAATCAATATTAATACCTGAAAATGTACATGTAGATAAAATGTTTCATAAAAAGTAAGCTGAAATATGAAAGAAATTGGTGGTTCAATTTAAATAATTTATGCAATAATGTCATTACTCATTACTATTCTCATTAATACATAATTATAATAACAACAGTGTTCAACGGCCAATTAAAAATAACATGTATTGATCTATAATCACAATACAAACGTAATGAAATAGACTGTAGAGCAAAATGTAACACGAATTATTTTATAAATACACTTCTTAAAATGGGTTCATTGCACTAGTTAATAAGCACCTTAATAATATATTTAATACAAACACTGCACCGTTTGGTTCGCCAAAATATATTTTGAACAAGTTTTGTTTAAAATTGTTTGTATTAACACCGAAAATTCAGCATACATTTTCTGAAACAGGTTTACACATTTAATTTCAGTAGTTTGGAGCTGTTGTACTCAACGAATGATGTTAAACAGTTTGTTCACAGTCACTTCATTATTTCACACGTCCGCTTTTAAAGTATTAAAGGCTGAAGCTGTGAAATGTAAATATTTACTTTCATTGTCTTTATTGTTTTATTTTTTCCTAATTTATCAAAACTTTAAACAAATATTAAAAGTTAAAAAGTTACAAATATTCTTTAATTAGGTATTAATTATTGTTTAATAAAAACCAAATTATCAAATTGTTATTAATAAAGGTTGCCATAGCAACAAAAGTTTATTTTGGAGCTGTCAAATTTAAACCACCAAAAAGTTTCTTTCAAGTTCGATCCCGCATTAATAAAACAAAAGAGAGTTAAGGCGATTGCATCCACTTACCGTGCAGTTATTTGTTGCAGGAGAGCGCGAGAGAGACGGCGAGAAATTGTGTTTGGTAACTTTTTGGGAGCGCTCGGGAGCGCAGCGCGAGGCGCGAGTAGCGGCGATTCATTAACTCCGGAGGCTGCGAGCGGCCCCGCGCCCCTCCCCCGGCGCATGTGCGGCGCCCTCCAATGGCGGCCCTGTTGCTTCTGACGGCGCGACGTCAAAACGCAACCTTCGGAAAACTATGAATAATCGTCACCGAATGAAAACTCCTTGAAGATTTGATTCCATTTTTTTTTCAACTTCCAATTTTGAAAAATATTTTTTTTTATAAATAGTTCGGCAAACTTCATCGGATATCAGCCAGCACTATGCCTTAAATAGCCGTGACTGGCCGCTGCGTTGTAAATCTTAATTAAAATCATTAAGTCCAACCACAGCGTTAATCAGCTTAAGTAACCGCGCTCGCATCGCCGCCCCGGAATGTTATAGGTACAGTATATGGCGCCAAAATGTATACTTACCTTTTAAGGATAAAATGAAGAACAAACAAACTCATTTGTTAATGAAAATAAAACAAAAGTTTCAACTGCACTTTTAAAAATTTTCTTTCCCGCTTAGCTCGCGCTTTTACCATTTGTTACTGTGATAAAATTATCATACTCGTGATACTATGCGTCTGCGTCAGTTTTTTGCATTTTTTAAATATGAATATTTTGTGCTTGGTTCACTTGCGTTCGGAATTTTAAAATTAATGAAGAAATAATAGAATTATTGTGTCATTGTATACATTCATAGGTTTGACTGTCTTTTTTCTCTACTGACTAAAACTAAAATATTTAACTATAGTAACAAACTCTGTAAGCTCGTATATTCAGGCTACAGAATGATGTAAATAATTGAAAAATACGAAAATTATGAAAGAGGCTATAAAAATAATATTATTTTCAAAATTGTGTGACTTAAATGAATTCAGAATAGGTAAATCAAAAGTAAGCTTAAAGTATTAATGATAATGTAAATATCAAATTGCTTCGTTCCGGTTAAGCCCGAAGCCTCGGACAAACAGACGGAAGCTCGGCCGCAACAATAGGGATCTGGTTCCGTAGACCTTTTATACGGAACACAAACAATAATATTTACTTGAAAAATAAGACTTCTTAGATGAATTTCACAAATGAGAACATTTCTTGATATAGGAATGCTCATATAACGCTCTATAATAGCTATTATAATTAACGGAAAATAGTCCTGGAACCTGGTTTCAGTCTGCACATATTTGATGTACTTAAATTTGACTATTCTTACCGTTAGATAATTCCTGGCAATAAGTGGTGACTGAGTTTGTTCCGGCGTTTCTTCTCAGCACTTGCCATATGTTTGTCTCGAAGCGCTGGTAGGGCCCAAAAGATAAGGAGACATGTAAAGTGCCCCATAAGGGCTACCTTTTCTTTTTTTTATTATTACAAGCTTTTTATTACTTTCACATGTCTGGTGTCTGTCGTCAAATCTTGCAACTTAAAATTGACCCACTTCCCGGTTTCCTATTGAGCTGAAATTTTGCATATATGTGTAAGTCCGATGACAATGCAATATTATGGTACCATTGAGCTGGTCTGATGATGGAGTCGGGAGGTGGCCATAGGAACTCCTAAACAAAACGGCGGAAACTCATCGAGTTTGGGTTCGTTGGATTTGTCTTTTCGAGCACTTTAGTGTTAGATAACGTCCAGGGTCCTGAGATTAAGATATAACTAAAAAGTGTAAAATAAAATTATAATAAAAATAAACTTTTTTAAAAACAAGCTTTTATTCTGAATTTCGAAAGCTTGTAGCGCAAACAGAGAAAAAGAGGAATAAATTCCATGCGCGATACAAACTTTCGAAATTCAGAATAAAAGCTTGTTTTTAAAAAAGTTTATTTTTATTATAATTTTTTTTCTATTGACGTTCATAAGTGCCACTTGTGGTCTAAACTAAATAAATATTTTTGATTTTGATTTTGATTTGATTGGTAGATTAATGCCCGATTTCACTATCAATCCTTAACTTTTAAATTACCCCTATGAAAACAATATTTTTGTTATGTGAACTACCAAAAGGGTCACATAAAAATTAGGTATTGATGGTGAAAACGGGCATAAAACTCACAATAAGATTTTCAGGAGGAAGTTGCTTTTCCTTATTAGGTAAAATTAAAAAAAATACTTATACAGTCATTTATTGGATTCACAGCAAAAAAATAGATTAAAACTTTACTCGGACGATTATACTATACAGGCTATAGAATTATAAATCTGTATACAAAGAAACACCTCTAGGTATAGACATAAGTTCATCACACAGTAATTTTCTAAGTAACCCACTAAAATATTTTCGTCACGCAAAATAATCAAAATGTTGTACAAACACGGTCTGAAACGGTTTCGGCGTTACGCAGACGCAAGTTGTGCCTGTTTAAAATGCACAAAATCCTCCTTCTGCCCAACTTTTGCCCACTAAACCTCCATCAGGACGTACAAGCTGGATCTAAATCCCTTAAATACGGTGCCCAGATATTTATGGCAAAGCTAATAGCATGAATTACTCCGAGGCCGATGTCCGAGATTTGAATTGTTTTAAACAACGTATTAAGTCACTTAATGATGGGAAAAACACTTATTCCTCTCACTTTTAAAACTTTGAAAAAATCCGGATAAATACTTTTTCACACGTGTTCCTAGGGATGTGTATTTATCTCTTTTTATCTAGATAAATAGGTACTACTACTATATTTGCTGCATACTTAAGTTTTTATATCATTTTAGCTAGTTAAACACACAATATTTTTATCAACTCGTCACTCCAACTGCATCAAGTGGCAGAATATAAGTAGTACTTATTCACGTAAACAATTAAGTATATTATTATGCAAAGATACGCGGTCCAAGATTAGGACATGAGCCAAAAACATTCAAATAATAACATTTATGATATAAAGAGGATTATGACGATATTTATATTCATGACGAGAAGCTTGATGAGCTTATAAAAAGCGTAAGATGCTCATATAATGATAATAATATGTACGAACATTATATTTATACATTTTTCCTACTTCTTAATGATAAGCCGCTGTCTTTTCAGTAAGAAAAATAATCAGATGAAGCCCTTGAGCATTCCAGGCCCGTCCTTTGAGAAAAGATTTCTGAGATAAACAAAAATGTATGCTGGGGAGCCAGAAGTGAGCTACCATAAAACATTTGAAAAGAATTCTTCGTACAAATTAAGTTTGTCTATAACGACCGGGAATTTATGGTGAAAGTAATAGAGTAACGTTAATGAAAACTACGGTTTCTACATTGTTGATGAAATACTTTAATTGGTATGCTTTTATTATAATATAGTAAATGAGAACAGTGTGGTACAAGTAGAGCGACACTGACACTGCAAAAAAACTGTAGTAACGTCATTAGTTCTCTTGCAATCTTACTCTTGATACACGATGATTATCCCTTTATTTACAAAACGACTAAGGCAAGTTTAATTTATTATAGTCCCGTATTCTACGTTTCGCTTAAAATTAGGTTTAAATCAGGCTCAACCTTCGTCAAAAGCGGACAAGCTAAAAGTCAATCGTGCAAACGGCCCGACGCGCCCACCATTTAGAACCTATATTGATCTAACTTAATCTAACAAACCTCCAATTTATTAATAAAGCACTTTACCAGAATATTCTGCTTCTGACATTCACTAATGATTTCTAGGAGAGCTCTGGAACAGTCCACATCACCTTTACAACCTATTCTAATCGAAAACAAATACGAACTTCTTGCTAGATTATTTCCCAAACAAAACACATTTGTGTTTTAATTTTGTTAATTAGGTAAACCCATAAACTAGTTTTACAGTCGAAGTGACTGGACCGAACTAAAGACATTAAAAGGGTCAGCTGTAAACGCAGGTGTGTAAAATCAAATGTAGACACGTAAATGACTATTGGGTCGAAACCCATTTGCTTAATCCTCTGAAGGTTCTACACCTACGCCGATATAGTACACGTATATACGCATCCGATAATGTTCTGAACGTTCGCTATCCCTATTATACATTTTAAGCAAATTATCCTAATATTGAGTTGGTCGGGAAAAAATATTCCGATGCAGATCCTTCGCTATACAATTTAGAAATACGGCACCGATGCTCGTAAACGTAAATTCGTTCCTAAGCTGGAATGCCTTATGCGAAACAGTGTAGGCTTTCGTATATGTATTTAGAGCAATACAGAGGTTTGAGGTCTCGCTGTCGGGGCAAAGACAAGCAGGAAAACCCACCTTTGCTCGCGGCAATAGTGCCCGACTTTAGGAATTGGGAGTCGAGTTAAACCTAGCCGAGAAATTAATTTAGCATCGTAAATGTGCGACTTGTGTTGGGAACGGATTAAATGATATTGACTCGGTAACAAAGGATGGTTTGTTGCCTATAGTTTCTGATAGTGATTGCTTCTTCATAGTTTTGATTGCTGGTAAGTAAAACTGACTTATCGTTGACATAAGTATTTTTCAGGATTCGGATTTAAATCATAAACGACTTATACTTACGGTACAATTCTTTATATCAGCAATACCGAACCTTTATACTACAATTCAAATGTTATCATTTGGGCATACTCTTACAAGACGGAGGTACGCAACGTAGATGCCTATAAACTGAAAACATAAACTTTTATATCAAAGCTATAACAAAAATGTAATAGCAATAGGAATGATCGTATTTACGACTCGACGTCCATGATATGTTGTTCAAAGAAAAACCAGTCATGCATTGGAATAAAGTAAACGAGGATTCCAATGACGAACCAACAAAAAAGAGATCCGGGTAGATAGTAAGAAAAAACGGGCTCCTAGTAAAATGTCAGCTGGAATCCATCGTTGGCTTACCAACAAAGAATTGGCCGAGGTCCATTATGATAATGAAAGTGACTCCCGTTTGTCTTAAAGTCGTAGCTCAATTTGCAAGGCGAGAGATAAACGTTGTTAAACTGTCGAAGTTCGTGACAAAGCCTGAATAATGCAGATTACACCGAGAAAAATACCGCCGCAGTCAAATCTGCATATTTTATTGGTCCC